GGCCGCACGGCAGGCTGGAAGGCAAGACTTCACAAACTAAATTGGTGGATACTAGTATCCACCAATTACAATGAAATTGAACCGGAAATCAACGGCAGAAGGAAAACTGTAAAATTCACAAACGTGGAAATTAAATAGCGCGTCCTTAATACAACCCAGTGGGGCAACAACTCAAAGGAGGTTAGAAAGTATCTTGAGACAAATGCAAATGCAAATGCAACACACTAGCACTGTACGCAGCAAAAGCAACGCTAGAGGGAAGTTTACAGCTGGCGCACGCGGGCAGAAGAACGGAAATAAAGCTTAGAGCAGAGATACATGAAACAACAGGAAAACAACAGAAAAAAAATCAACAAAACTAAGTTTTGTTTTTTTTTAAAAGATTAACAAAATTGACAAACTCTTAGCTAGATAAAGTAAAAAGGGAACTCAAATGACTAAAATCAGAAAGGAAAGAAGGGACACTGCCGTTGACACCAAAGAAATAAAAAATTGAGAATACCACGAACAATTGTACAGCAGCAAGTCAGACACACGTCTGCACAGCATGCAAGCCGCCAAGACTGACTCACGAAGAAACAGAACCAGACCAGCAGCTGGTGGAGCGAGCGTTCGGGTAAACAAGAGCCTGCCGACGGGAACAACGAGGCCCGGGCTGCACGGCTTCACGGGAGACGTCCACCGGGCGCTTGAAGAGTTAGCACCGACCCTCAGACTCTTCCAGAACACTGAAGAGGAGGGAACACTTCCAAGCTCATTCTGTGAGGCCAGCATTATTCTGATCCCAAAACCAGACAAAAACAATACAAGGGGAAAGACCGCTACAAGAAAACTACAGGCCAACATCCCTGATGAAAGCTGGTGCGAAAGCGCTCGGCAGAGCGGCAGCGCAGCGGGCTCCCCGGCGCTGAAGGAAACCCACAGCCCCCGCCGGCAAGGACGTGGGGACGCCGGCAGCCGGGGCGAGCTGGCTGAGCTGCGGAACAGGGCAGCGTCACAGAGACCCGCGCAGGAGGGCCTCAAGGAACAGTGCTGACAGGCGCCACCCCCACGCGCTCCAGAAGCCCTACTTGCGGATCC